AGGTTGGAGGAAGGCTGGTTCATGTTCAGAATGTTACAAGGGCCCTTTTTGTTTTACAAGAAACAGAATGAAACAAAAACCCGTGTTAATGGCAAAGGTTATCATCCTGTGTGGAGATAACACATTTCTGGACTTTTTGGAATGAGGGTTTCTTTGCACATCGCATGGCACTAAGCTTGTGTTCATGTTTGCATATGCATGTTTGTCACATTCATACATTAGATTTTTAGGTGTAAAACTTAAATCACCTTAAACATATAGCTAACTATTATGTAAAAACACACAGACACACAAAATGTAAAGTACGCCATGCAATTGTGCTCAAAATATGGAGGTGACAACTTATTTCCAAACAGTGAAAAGTTAATACTCTTCACTGGCACCTTGTGCAGAGGAAGAAAATAATTTTTGAAGAAAAGGATAAAAATGATAAGTGCACAGTTCTAAGTAATGGAGGTTTGGCCAGCCATGCCTACATCCCACACATTGCTCATTATATTGTTAGCTAAGTGCTATGCACTCACAAACACAGAGAAGAAGTTGAAAAGCTTACTTAAAACCAGCAATTCAAGTCTATTAAAATGTGTATAGTTCAACACTGGGTCACAGAATTGGTGAAACATGGTTTGCTAATGTCAACCTTGGTAATTCTAGAATGCTAAATGTAAATGGCAAAAGCACAAAGAACATTGTGTTTCTGTTTCACATTGGTGTATAGCAAAACAATAGATGTTGAAAATAATTTGTTATGGCTGGCTGCTTCTTTTATAAAGAAATCAAGCTTTAACAATATTATCTGAAGCAATTTCCCATCCAAACTTTGTTATAAATACCCCTTGCTGAGTGCAACAGAATATTTGCTGTTCTCAGCACTCATTTCATTTTTGGTAGCACTTTTAAAAGACAGGTTTCTAGAGTTATTAGGTGAGTTTCTCATTATGCAACAACAATAAAAAACATATTGTCCAAAAGCTAGTGTCAAAATACTTACCTTATAAGATGACATAAGGGCTGAGTGTCAAAACTTACAAAAATTATGATATTTCCAAAACAGCAAATCTCATGAGCAAAGGCTACAGGATTTGGGGGATGGTAGCCCCATAGGACCACTTTACAGGGCAATTATTATATAGGATAAATGGATCAAAGAAGGAGTACATACTAGGGGATAGTGTGCAGGGCTGGATGAAGAAAGACTGTCTAATCTAACCGAATTTTGTTTCTTTCTTTCCGACCCTCCAAATATGGGTAATGGGAACCATCACTATATTATAAAATACATGAAAGAAACTAATACCACTTGGGAAAGAAACATCTTCCTGCATTTCAAAATATCTGAACCAATTCTTTACCTGAGACCAAATCAACCATTTAATATGACTGGGATCATTACAATTACCTCCACATAAATTTATCAAGCTTCTATGCTTTCATTACAAAGAGCACCAGAGCATCTTTGATCATTAGTCTGGACTCCAATGAAACCAGAAGCCAGTCTCACTTCTACTCTAGAGATATATTTAGATA